CACACACCCACCCACACACCCACCCACACACACACACACACACACACACACACACACACACACACACACACACACACACACACACACACACACATTGTTTTACACCTTTTTGTATGTCCAAAAGTATTATTATATTTAAGGCTATATTGTAAGGCCTTCGCGCAATGGAGACGGTTCCGAGTTGGGTTATGTATCACACACAGACCCACATGGCAAATTACCTGTGTGGCTTGTTAATAAAGTCACACAAATATTTGCTCCTAAAGTAAGATATTACAATGAAATATCAAGTATCAAACAAATAAATGTAATATTTGCTTATGAAGATATATTTTGTAGATGGTAAAAAGATTGCATAAAGCTTCTGTGGGCTATCCAAGCTGGAAAATACTTAATAATCCAAATTATAAACCTTGGCATTATCCTGAACAAATAATGGCACCTAGAATACGTATCGAAGAAGTAAGACTATCTTATTTTTATATGAGTTTTCGTATTGTGTATATCGGCTTATTACATGCCTTACTGTATTTTCACGATTATATTTAGATACATATACGAGGGTTAAGTCCAAAAGTAAGTTTTCTTATTTTAGGAAAAACAAAGACAAAGATTAAAAAAGTAAGTTAAAAAATTTTTTTTAAGATTTTCAACTTTGTTTTTCCATTTGTCATAAAATAGGGAAACTTACTTTTGGATTAATCCTAGTAGATCTTGTACATTTTTTTATTTCTCTAAATAAAATTTTGAATTTCATTTCTTTCAGTATTTTATAGTTGACATGTATCTCTATACATATATGTTTATAACAATATTTTACTCGGTAATACGCAATAAAGAGATACATATACATATATAGAAAAAATAGACTTTGTTCTTCTTTCGTATTTAGTTGTCAAATATAACTTTTTAAAAAATCAATTTTATGATCTATACGCAAAGCTGATTTTTACAATCGTATGTTATTAATTCGTTTCAGTGCGTAAAATCTGCAGAAGAGAAGAATTCAAAATATAATTATGTAGATGAATCTAATTTAAACGAAAGTTTGGTTAAAGAATCTGCCACTATGGATAGCGATTAATTTATAACGATACAATAGATACTTGACATTTTTTAGGTAAGTAGGATAATAGTGACTAGAATAATAAAAAAACTGTAATGAAAAGTTCCAAGAGTATTATAATATTAAATGCAGATAAATCATAACGGACAATTTGTACAACTATTAAAGTTCGATTTGCATATTTCTTACATAATAAATGATTCTAATTATACACAACGCAACATATTTAATGTATGTGTACGTAGAACATTAAAAGTCACATATTCAGTTGTCATATGCGCAGGCCTGTACGGACATGGCTGCAGTATATGTAAACATCAACGAAAATATTCGATGGCCTACTTTGCATTAGGCTCTAATTTCTAGCCAGGTTTGTTGTTGGTATTGTTAAAGCGCGGAAATATATAATAAGATGCCATACAATATAGAAGGTATACTTGAAACTCTTTTTATAATTTATATCATAAGGCGTATGCGTGTATATGCATATGGATATATGTGCGCGCGTGTGTGTATGTGTATATACACATACATACATACATACAGGATGAATCAAAGTCGTTGAACCAACTTTTTACCCTTTGCGCAAATTATCGACTTAATATCTAATTGAATTATAATGTGCGCAATGTCAACTTTCATTATTTTCTCATAGGGTAAAAAGCTGGTTTCAACGATTCTGATTCACCCTGTATAT